TGAGAAATTATAAAAATAAAAATGTAAATTTTTTTTGGGAAAAATTAGAATACTTTACAAAAACGTTTTTAAAATATTTTCCAAAAATGAACTAGATATTTTCCAAACAAATTGCAATCAACTTCCACAAAAAATTCAATTAAATTTTTTAAAAATTTCTATTAGTTTTGAGAATTTTTGTTTGGATTATTGGGAAATTTGAAATACTTACTATATTTTACTTTAGAAGTTTTCTACGCATACTTTTTATAATACTATACTTTTGACTAATCGAAGCGGATGCACTAAAAGTCATTAAGCGCGACAAAGTATTGGAAATATGTATATAAATTCTACTATATTGAAATTCGTTAAAGGCAGCTGCTCTTTTTTTTTATTGAACTTAACCCACAGACACATCTCAAGATCCATGTAAATTAAAAGATCAAGGGCAAGCGACATACGCAATTTGCTGCTAAGTAACTTTTATTTCGAAATACTAACCAAAATTTAAAAGATAAATAACGAATTTCAGCTAAATAACTTGAGAATACCTATACTATCATCAAATCAAATTGAAGAAAACCTAAACTACTGCTTGTCAGTAGGCCATCATAAAAATTCATAAAGAACAATAAAACTATTTCATATTTTATTCAACTTCCTAGGCGATCAGCTGTGCAAATGCCCAAGGTGGTGGCGGCGGCGGTGCTGGTGGTGAGGCCGGCGCCGGGGCGAGCGCTGGCATGAGCATAGGCGCGGGTGCGAAAGGCGGCGCAGGCGGTGGTGCCGATGGCGAAGGTGGCGCTGGTTTCGGTGCGGGTTTCAGTTTCGGTGCTGGTGCCGGCGGTAAGGGTGGCGCCGGTGCAGGTGGGCGCTAACCACGGAAACTTACACCTGGAAATGCTGATTGTAGATAAACGCAAATGTAAATAAATGTGTGTAGCAAATCCGGAAACTGTCTTCTTCTTTTTCTAACGTACCCACCAAACGCAGCACTCCAACATTTCGCGTGCATTTTTGAAAGCCAATTTCTGCACTGTCACACTCAAGACGGACACGCGCAACTAGCGCAATTGCATGGTCTCACATATTCACTGTATGTAGGTTTATTTGTATAGCGGCGGCATGGCGTCAATTACCGTCTGAAAACCCGTAGGGCGAGCGCGTGAATTGGATGAGTAAGAAACATATTTGATGGCCTCATAAAAGTTATTGCCTCGTTACGAACGCCACGTGCTTATATTCATTAAATATGTATATGTACATAAGTATTATATGTGTTTGTATGTCAGAGAAACGAGCGCGTCTAAGGTCAGAGGCTCGACAATTTGAACGTGAGCTTATTCGCAACGCTTCTTATCAGGCGCGTGGTGCCTACTTACTTACCAAACACCTGCTTTTGTTTTTCTTTTGACATTGTTGCTTTCGGTAATACGATCACTTTGTCGCCTGTGAATCCCTCCGCTGCGGAAATAAATAATAATAAATTCTTTAAGCTAAATTATAGTGCACGATTGGTATATTCGGCATCTTCGATATATAGTATAGTAGAAGACATAATCACTTGGACCCCCTTTCTTCAGAGACTTATTGGTATATACGGTCGAATCTCCCATATTTTTCAGAATCATTAGAATTGTAGGCAAATCTATACTACGGAGTCATGTTTGTTTGACTTTTCTTCTCCTCCGTCTTTTTCGTTATCTTCCTTTTTCTCCCGCTTTCTCTCTCTCGCCTCTCTCACTATCTGCCTATCTCTGGCTTTATCTCATTTACTCTTTTAATGGTAATCTATATATTTTTAATTTTATAATTTGAGTTTTGTAGGCGATAAAATCTATACAACTTAACCTCAAAAATGAGCTCCATTTTCCTATTCGGAATGATCACATTAAGCAAGGAATATATGGACTAATTTTAGTGTTCTTTTTTTTTTACTTCAAAGAGCCAATAAGTCTACTTATTTAGACGATCAGAGTAATGCAAGACACGAATATAGAAAACTATAATTTGGGGTATTGAATTCTTAATTCGTATATGGATATCTAAAAGAAAACAATCTCAAAACTATGGAATCTTCGCTTGCTTAGATTTTTTAACGGAACATGGTGTCAACGAACCTAGATCTCGGAGTCTTTTCTCTGCTATCATATTATAAGTTTTAAGATGCTACCGGAGGAGGTGCCTACTGTCGGAAATTATTCAGCGATTCCAGCTTCAAGCATTCTAAATACTGCGGCACCCTCAAGTTGGGGCTTCCGTCTTTCGAGTAGTGACAATTCACTCCACAAGGGAGTCGTTAGTTACGGAAGATATTTAGAATATTTCACACCAGTCGTTCCTCCTTCTCGCTGTTTGGCGCCAATTGGAGACTCCAAGTGCAGCCATGTCTTTCTCCACTTTCCTTCCTCTTCTTCTGCCTCCTGCGGCGAGCACCAAGTCGAATATTCTTCGAGCTGAAGTGAAGCGAACTAGCCAGCGTAGCCGCTGTCTCCTAATTCCCTGAACTATGTCAAGGTCGTCCTGTCCTAACGTACAGCTTCATGCCTCTGCAGCATATAGCAGAAGGTGGATGATGAGTGTTTCAGTAACTTTGGTCTATGTTCGTCGACACAGTCCTTTGCGGAGTTTCCTGGGGATGAATCTTTCAGTTTCTCACTTTAGCTCCCTACAAAAGGATGTTTTTTTTTGTCTATTCAGAGGATACTTGGTCTAAGGTCGAAAGACGTGAGCTGTTTGAGCCATATGTAAAAGAATCGATTCTCCACTCTCACTCCTAAGTGAATGGCGCTTAGATAACTTTCCTCACTGGCGTGAACTTCTGCACATGACTCCATCCTCCATAACAACAATAATACAATAAGTTGGGAGGAATCTCAGTTACGTTGACATTAATAGTAGGTATAAAACTCCTGGTCCAAAAAGTACAAATAGATCTTAGTTACAATGCTTTTAACGATCTTCCAAACTCATCTGACGCCTGAGATGTCGAGTTTCATAGTTGAATCTATGGAATTTCTATAATCCTTTCAATCAACATTAAAAGTTCGACACAGCTCTATTTCTACAAGTTTTTTGTTTTAACTTTAACTCTTTAACAAGATTGATCATTTATACACTCTCTTAAATAAATAAATAAATAAATAAAATATACACTACAACATTTTGGGTGTGTGTCTCCACTTCAATTCTGTAAGTTTGTGTCCCAACTACATTCGACAAACTCACTCTGCTCTCATATAATACAACGCCGTGCGGCGTCACTGAAAATCGTAAATTTGCAACGCGTGCACTTTGTCACACATTGTGTTGAAATAAAATCTAACCAAAGAATTTATGGGCTCTTCATTTCAATGATATGTGTAAACAGAAAAGTTAATACGGCGCACGAGCGTTTCACACTCGCTGAACGCGACGATTTCAAAGTTTATTCTGAGATTCCGTCGAATCAATAAATAAACTAACTTCAAGAAAGCGAGAAAAAAGAACAAAAAGAACAAAAACCGTAAATAATAATGAAAAATAACAAAAAGTATGAAATAAAGTTGGTCAGTCCATAAGAACGCTAACGCGTTCGGGGCGAAAGATAAGCGCAAGAGCGTGTGTGGGCGCCGTGCGACGGGGCGTATGAGGTACGTGCATAAGTATACGAGTCAGGCTATATAATGTATATCTACAAATGTATGTACATATGTATGTATATTGCAATATAATAATATTTTCATGAACTTGAACCGCAATGGCTCCGATCACGTGCAGGTGGGCTAACGTAAGGCATCGTTCGTCCGTCCGAGGTATTAAAAACTATGCGCTAACACAATTGATTGTTGATTTTTTTGCGTTATTTTATGCCATAAACGAATAGTTATCTGCAAAAATAAACAACAACAAATGGTTGGCAATTTTAAACGTTGGCGGCAAGCGCATTTAAAAGCTGGCGTAAGGTGCCTGTGTGATGCATGCCGCCCTTACGGCTTTGTTTTTGCTATTGTTATTGTTGGTATCGCTTTTTCGTGCTGTGACCAAAATATTTATTTATTTATATCGCTCATGTGACACTGATTGATTTACAGATAACTATAAAATTGTGAAATTTCGCACCAACTAAGGTATTTATGGCTTTGTACGTGTGTATGTGTGTGTGGCGACCAGTCGTTGGCGCCAGTTATTCACAATTAGTTTGAGGAATTGCGATTTTCAAGGATTTTTGCGTATTGTAGTTTTGGTTTATGACAATGTCTGACAGCCCAAGCAATTGTCAATTGAAAACTTTTTAGAGCGTATTTCACAAGAAGAACCTAATTCATAATTTAATTGCGTTCAGGTCAACTATGACTATTTTTCAGCACAAAGACCTACACATACATATACTTTGATGATAGACTCATTTAAAATATTTCTGTATCACTGTACACATTTGTCTGCCAGCAAGACTCATTGGAGCATTAGAGGCAAACTAAGATTCATATACATATGTATGTATGTATGTATGTATGGTAGCATCAGTTGTTATAGCTCACCGCAACCCTGAAGTAAGTTGGAAAAAATCTGCCGAGTTGATAACGTTTTGCCGATTACAAATCAGGCTCCTTTCTGGTTACTTAGTCCCAACTGTCATGTATACGGACTTATATGTACATATGTATGTATCTCTTCTACTGTCATATACAAGAGAATGGTGGAATTTTGTTTCGAGCATTGTTAAATGAAGTCGATGAGAAAAACTGAAATGAATTATAGTATGTAGTTCCAGGCGACAACCAAATGTGGCCACTGTCTTTGAAGAAGTTCTCTACGTCCAAATTCCGATCCTTATAAAATACTACTTTAAATATAAAATATTATATTTTCCGTTTTATTGAACAAGAATTTTAGATTTTAATTTTCAATAAATATTCAACAAGTCCATGTTGGTAATGAAGAGTTACTAACTCCTTTCAGCATTCTCCACATACTTATAGCATCTTCGTAGCCACAAGGAAAATGATCTGTTTAATATTATCTGGAAGCATTAAAGAGTTATGTACGTTACGAGTAGAAGCTCCAGAAAATCTGTATAATGTTATCGTCAACTTTGGAAGAGCTTTTTCGAAAGTTTCAGTCTACAAATTTTGTTAATATTTTTTAAGAAAGTTGGTCAACAGATGAAATATGCCAATATTGTTCCACATGTTCGCTAACTTCACTTTATCTTACTCATTTAGACTGTCTGACAAGAGATCTTAGAGAATCACATACATATAGAACAGCTTGGCGTCAGCTGGTTTTTCGTTAACAAAAAGACTGTCCATTAATTTCATATGTGGCTAAATATATGTATCTTTCTAAATTTTTTCTGAAGTTAAGAGTTACGGATCGGATTTTTATGCGATTCAACAATTTGGGTGTGTGTCGGCGCTTCTATTGTATAGGTTTGTGTTCCAACTACAGTCGATAAACTCGCTCTGCTCTCATATTATATGATGCGCCAATTTACTCCGTCACTGAAAATCGTAAATGTCCAACCCAAAGCTACAATCTCCGACGAAATTATTCAAATCGGTTCACTATAGCATATAGCTATCATAAAGATAAAAATATTCGCTTTTTATTGGAGCTCAAATGTAACGAATAGAAAAGCGGCGGAATACCTTCGGGATATGTGGCGACGTAACGTGAGGATAATCCCAGATTTGCCGACTGATACCAGTTGCTTGTTCGAGTGGAAAAAATCCATGATCAAAGAAACTGCGTTCTGATACATGTTATTATAATTTAATTGTCCCTTTACAATTTCTTCAACCTGTAGACTATTTAAAATACAACTTCAATAAAATCACAATGAGCTCTATTTGCATAGTTTTCCATAATTCTATTTCATCACGAAATTTTTAATTGAACTCGTCAATCTGATGTGAGGATGTCTGGGGCACCAATAATCACACTAAAGAGAGTCAG